ATAAAGTTATAAAGAAGCATAAATAAGCCTTTATAGCATAAAGAAAATCCAATTTTGTTCTTTTGTTGCCTTTTTTCCTCTTAAAGTACAGTATGATTGATTATCTTTTCTCTATACCATTTTCTGAGGAACTCTAGACTCATTAACTCAGGGACCAGTATTATTGGATTATCATGAACTGACTACAAAAATACCATCGGGAAGTGAACATAGCAAGTGACAAAAGAAAACCTCTGAACAATTTTCTTTGGATCAATAAAATTAGTTCAACACAGTATACGTTTAAAAATAATAAACACAGTTCACAAAATTATTTTTATAAAATACTGCTCCCAGAAGATCAAATTCATGTTTAATTCCCAAAGCATGTTATGGTTAGTGATTTTTTTCTTGCCTATTAGAATTAGCACAATTTCTTAAGACTGAAATTTGATAGCATCATTATGTTTTTTCTGGACTTTTCTGGAATATTTCAAAATTTCATTAAGCTTAGTTTTTCTTCTCCAAAATGACAGCCTGTATCTCATGCCCAATCATTTTAAATTCTCAATTTTTCTAAGCATGTATCTCCTATAACTTTAAGGATGACAGGAAAAAAATATTTTTGATACAATTTTTACCTGATGAAAAATAGATACTCTAAGAATGAGTATCTCAGTTCTGCATTGCATGCTTTCCATGAAAATTACAAATAAAAATATAATTATGACTACATTATTAAAATTGTGGAAAATATAGACCATTAAAAAGAAATCAATACTCCAAAATGAAGACAACACACACAGTTAACATGATGTGGTACTTCCTAGTTTTTTCTGTTTATTTGTTTTTATCTTGATAGAACACTTAATTTGTCTGACAATATTTTCATGTGTTTGTGAACTGTTGATTATTTTTTTAGTCAACAAATATACATTGCTATCCTATTATATGTCTATGACTACATTATTAAAATTGTGGAAAATATAGACCATTAAAAAGAAATCAATACTCCAAAATGAAGACAACACACACAGTTAACATGATGTGGTACTTCCTAGTTTTTTCTGTTTATTTGTTTTTATCTTGATAGAACACTTAATTTGTCTGACTATATTTTCATGTGTTTGTGAACTGTTGATTATTTTTTTAGTCAACAAATATACATTGCTATCCTATTATATGTCAGGAACTATTATGCAAGGAGAATAGGAAGGTGAGCAAAAAGTCTTTAGTGATTGATGGGAAAAACAGTTGCTAATAACTAATCACACAGATTCTCTTCAAGGTAAAGGTTTAAGGACAATGATAAAGAAAAATTGTCTCAATGAAAAGAGCACTAAATAACAGTCTGTACATATGAGTTCTAGTCTTGACTCACAAGCTATGCAACTTAAGCCAATCACTTCCCTTTTTATTCCTCTGTATAGAATAATTTATACTGTATGATCTGTTGGGTCCTATTAAGATTTAAATTTTCATTAGCAATGCCAAATAATCCTTGACACAGTAGTTCTTTCACAAGTTGTACATCTTAGAATTCATATTATTCATTTCTCAAACGTCTTAAAAAATGAGATCCATGCCCCCAAATTTAAAACTCCATGTCAGTAATGACTATATTGTGTTATCTTAACATGTGCATATTGCAGGTGGTTTCTCTGAATAATAAAAGCATAACCTGAGAAGTCAGGTAAATTTGCAAATGTTTTTATTGTTCAGTCACTCAGTCATGTCCTACTCTTTGCCACTCCATGGACTGCAGTATGCCAGACTTCCCTGTTCTTCACCATCTAGAGCTTGCTCAAACTCATGTTTATTGAGTTGGTGATGCCATCAAACCATCTTGTCCTCTGTCGTCTCCTTCTCCTCCTGCCTTCTGTCTTTCCCAGCATCGGGGTCTTTCCCAATGAGTCAGCTCTTCACATCAGGAGGCCAAAGTATTGGAGCTTCAGCTTCAGCATCAGTCCTTTCAATGAATATTCAGGATTAATCTCTTTTAGGATTGACTGGTTTGAACTCCTTGCTGTCCAAAGGACTCTAAAGAGTCTTCTCCAACACGACAGTTCAAAAGCATCAATTCTTCAGCACTCAGCCTTCTTTTTGGTCTAACTCTCACACCCATACATGACTACTGGAAAAACCATAGCTTTGACTATACGAAACTTTGTCAGCAAAACAGTGTCTCCGCTTTTTAATATGTTGTGTAGGTTTGTCATAGCTTTTCTTCCAAGGAGCAAGCGTCTTTTAATTTCATGGCTGCAGTCACCATCTGCAGTGATTTTTGAGTCCAAGAAAATAAAGTCTGTCGCTGTTTCCATTGTTTCCCAATCTAATTGCAAAGTAGTTTTAGAAAAATTTTCTGAAATTCAGTTGTGGTTCAGATGGTAAAGAATCTGCCTGCAATGAAGGAGACCTGGATTCCATCCCTTATCCAGGTCCTCTGGATAAGGGAATGACTACCCACTCTAGTACTCTTGCCTGGGAAATTCATGGGCAGAGGAACCTGGCACAGAGGGTCAGACACGGCTGAGTGACTAACGCTTTCATAATACTATCTAACTTGTAATATTGGTGTAAAATCTTAAATAACGTATTAAAACATTTACTATTATTCCTGATTCATAAGTAGACCTCAATAAATATTACCCATAAATATCACCAACCATCAAAAGTATTCTTAGTGAGAAATCCACCAGTTTATTAATAAACAATCCAGGTAGAAGTGGAAGCATATGACAGACAGGGCTTTAAAAACATAAACACAATTTGAAATTTGTATGTGATTAAATAGAAGAAGATCCTTTAAATTAGCATTTAAAAGAAACACCAGATAAAAAAATATAACTATTCATGTTTCTCAATGGGACTTAATTCTGAATTAGTGATAATAAGCTGCTTCTGATCTGATCACATAGCTGTTTTGGTTTCTTTTTAACTTAGCAAAATTCTTTCATAACTCTAGTTATATGTGCTAAAAATTAAAATCTTCGATTGAAAATCACCTATTTTCATAAATTAATGGTTTTATTGAATTTTACATGGAGTGCATGATCACATTAATAAGTTAACTTTTTAAGGAAATATGATTTATTCTGCTATTTGCAAGTAAGATGAATCTTTTTATGCAGAAAAGCTGACAAAACTTAGTGCAAGAAATACTGCATGTGTGTGTGCCCTTGTGGTCCAGTCCGCTAAGTATGCTCTAGGATTCAGAAGTGTCTAGAACATAGAGACATCATCTATTTGGTTGCTAGAGGTTTATATAAAAGCCTAAATGTATACTAAATGGGCTTTCCAAGTGGCTCAGTGGTAAAGAATCTACCTTCTAAATAGGAGACAGGGGTTTGATTCCTGGGTTGGGAAGATCACTTGGAAAAGGAAATGGCAACCCATTTCAGTATTCTTGCCTGGGAAATCCCATGGACAGAGGAGCATGGAGGGCTACAGTCCATGGGGACACCAAAGAGTCAGACAAGATAGTGGCTAAACTACAACAAACATATATTAAACCTTAGGTTTACAAAAACTCATCCACATGATACCATTTGTATTAATTTCTTAAAAAAGTCTATAATGAGAAATTTACCATGAAATTGTACTAAATTTTAATTACTTTTATTGAGAATCATTATATTTGAAAAACTAAGAATCTATATCAATACAATAATAACTATAGATAATACTAATTCATATGGATATTGCATGATCACTATAAAATTATTACTCTTGTGAAAGTGAAAGTCACTCAGTCATGTCCGACTCTTTGCAACCCCATGGACTATGCAGTCCATGGAATTCTCCAGGTGAGAATACTGGAATGGGTAGCCTTTCCCTTCTCCAGGGGATCTTCCCAACCTAGGGATCAAACCAGGGTCTCCTGCATTGCAGGCAGATTCTTTACCAACTGAGTTTTGAGGGAAGCCCTTCTTGAAGAGAAGACTCTTCAAGAGGCAGACAGAAAATGCCTCTGAAGAAAAAGGAAACAATTTATATCTACATAGCAAGATTAATACCGGTGAAGATTATTGCTTCAATTATCCTGTATCTCATGCCACAAATTTTTCAAAGTTAATTACAAAACCATGACCGCAGATTTTATATAATATATCACAATGCTGTCCCAATATGAATCACTGTTTAGTTATGAATCTTTTAATGTTTCTAGACTGGTCTAATGAATTCTTCTCCAGACATTTACAAATGAGATTAAAATTAAAGTCCCTGTAAGTGTCAAAGTGCTTCCCTGGTAATTCAGCTAGTAAAGAATCCACCTGCAAGGCAGGAGATCCGGAAAGAAGTATTAGCCACCAGGGGCGCTCTGAGTGCCTCCTCTTCCCCTATCTGACACCTTCTTCTCAGTGGCGAATATAGATGTGTTCTCCATCAAGGAGCACTGGTCTGGTTTAACACATTTCACTGACCGTGATTCTCCTGAGTGAAGTAACTGTGCTGAGTTGAATGCTGGAGTATGCAAGGGTGTGTCTTCCCTATGGTCTTTTTTTTTTTTTCCATTTGACCAGATTGGTTAAAAACTCTGAAGAATTCTTGAGCAAACCTGAAAGGATTTCCCCCTACCACCTCAAGCTTTAGAATCTCTCATATCTTCTCCCATTTGGTAGCTCAGCCAGTGCTATTTCCCAGGTTTAAGAAAATAAACATATTGGATAAAGTCCTGGCCTAGGGCAGCTTAGTTTAACAATCAATTCTAAACTGTAAAAAAGTCTTCCTATTTTAATATCTTTGACATGTAGATGTCATGCACAAAAATGGCTTCTTGCAATTATATCTGCAGCATTTTTTTTTATTTTTTCATGGTTCATAAACTAAAGATATACCATACAACTTAGCAGCTGATATATCAAGCACGTTAGATCTATTTCAAAAAATATTAAAACAACAATAAAGGCAGCAAATAACGACTGAATGTCCATTTACTTGCTCCCCAGGATTACTATTACAATTCAAGGGCACAACAGAAAACCAGAAAATCTGCAAGCAAAGTTTTGAAGGGGACTCACCAGAGTTGGGGTCAGAGTTGCCGTCTGCTTCGGTCCTCTTGTCCGGAGAGGCCTGGTCATAGAATTCGTCCTGTGGCTGAACCAGAGGAAGAGGGTGTGAGATCAGGGTTCCACTACCCACCGGCTCATGGTCTCCAAGACCACTGTCACTGCAGCTTTCCTGGGAGCCGTCGGGGAGGTGAAAGGTAACCCGGCGCTGCGACTACAAAGAAGACCACAGGACACGCCATTAACATCCTTCCTGAAGGACGCGGGGATGGAACGCAAAGCAAAGCAACTTTAATACACAGTACAATGCCCAGGCAAAGTCAAAAATACTTGGAACACATCTGGGAACAAACATCTATTATTTATCATTTACTATGACATATCCAACTTGCAAATACAAGAAAGAATTTCACTTTGGTATAATTTAAGAGACGGAAAAAAAAGCTGATGGTAAACCATTGAAATTTGTAGAAATACGAATATAATGCTAGTGGTCAAAGCTATACAAAAGTTAAATAAGTAGAAATACACAAATGTTTGTTCCATAGATCTGAATAAATACATAGATAATGCAATACGGCATTCCATTTCTTGTGGATAACCAAGTATTGTGTTTATTTGAGGGTTTAAAGGTAGCTTTTGCAATGAAGTCATTATTGTCCACTGGCCTTGATTTTTTTACCAGTCATTGGTTATAGAATATCCCTATTGAAAGGTGTTTGGAATATTACTTTGGCATCTATTTGCCAAAGTTAATTGAATAAATTTTAGTGTTTTAGAAAGATAAAATTGTGCCTTTCAGCAGATATCACTGCTTAGTTCTCTTGGTATATGTTCTTCTAGCTGCTGCAATGTATGAGATAGGAGACTATTTATAGCTGTGTGGGGTGGAGTTTTATGCCTGACAGAATTATGTGAGAGTAGTAAATTTATGCTTTACCTCTGAGTAAACCTAATTTTCACTCTAATTTGATAACCAATAAAACCTTTCAATATCACATCACATATGACTAATTTTGCTCAGATTTAATAACATTATGAATATATAAATAATTATTTATATAAATAAATAATATGGAGATATAATGACAGGAAATGCCCTAGTCCACAACATCAGCTATATCTAAATCCATCATTCTCATAGTGAAGTCATTAGAGCTAGTATTTATTGAGCATCTACTCGTATAGAGATTGGTACTATAATTACACTGAGAATAAAAAGGAAAATATATTTTTTAAGCTATTTCGAATACAGCATATTAAATTCCATCTGATACACACTATACTATGATATTTCTTTACCACTTTATAAGTGAGAATAAGAGATATAAATCTAGTGTAATTTATTTGCACTAAGACCCTGTAAATTAGAGTAATATAATGTTTAAACTACTGTGGCTTATGGAAATATTTCCTAATTAATTTGACTCAAAGATGTTTAAGTCTTAATTGGCAAAATTGTGCACAATTTATCAGTCTAATGGGAGGTAGGGGTGGTGATGCATATGGACTAAGAATTGCAACATGGATATGATAGCAGGAAGCAAATTGATCAAGAAAATCAATCTTTAACTTATTATCATAATGATTGATGCAAGTGAAATAGTGTTTGGCTTATCAAGGTAGATAAAAGGAGAATGTTTGAATAAACTAAAATGAAGGAAAATTAGGATACATTCTGCAATAGGAAACAGGAGTTATAGATGTCATGAAAGACTACAGTACTTATTCCGGTTTTGCCCAAAGGCACCAGATGAGGAGTCAGAACCAGACCTCCTGCCTGGGAGTGTTTGCCCTGTAGAGCCTGGTCCTGGGCAATTACACCATTTCTTTGAAGGGGTTCTTGGCCTTGTAAGACGGATGGAGCAGTGCCTTTAGCAGTGGAGGTTGTAAGGTACAAATAGATAAAATAAGAAGTGTTCTTGTTATATAATACATGACACATGGTAGGTACTCAATAAAAGGTAGCTGTGAAAGTGAAAGTCGCTCAGTCGTGTCCGACTCTTTGCGACCCCATGGACTGTCCATGAAATTCTCCAGGCCAGAATACTGGAATGAATAGCCTTTCCCTTCTCCAGGGGATCTTCCCAACCCAGGGTTCGAACCCAGGTCTCCCACATTGCAGGTGGATTCTTTACCAGCTGAGCCACAAGGGAAGCCCCAATTCTTGAAATTCATATCTGCACATTCTCTTTTAATCTCTGGGATATCGATGTTTAGCAATTATAGAGATGTAATACTTTCACCCCCGAAAAAGTGTTGTTCTTTGGGAAGACAACTGTAGTCTTGGCATGCCTCACATTGTGCCTGTGGGTATGTCAGCCCAGAATCTTTGAGAGGAAGCTGCTCTGGGAAAAGAGTGAGCAATGGAGATCAACAGTTTAGAACACAGGGTTTTTTTGCAAAGAAAGTGAAAGTTTTCCCACTGTTCTTTCAAGAAACTTGTAATTGTTTGTATATTTAAAGAAAGAAAGAAAGAACTTTTTACTTGTAGCCTCTGGGAATTTTGGTTTTGGGTTATCGCCATGGAAATGTGCCCCAATTTGGGTTATAAATATAGTCAAACCCTGCCTGACTGAATTGGGACACACATGCTATCATGAGACTACTTCAGACTTTCCAAAGCCTGGACACTTATATTTTGCTTTCCTGAATCTATTTCTTACCATTTCCATTTTCTCTCATGGGAAACATTATTATTATTTTTGCTAAGTCTGGTTGATGGTTTGAGTGTCACATTTATGTACCTAATTTATCACTGACAAAGTTAGCTCCAGGTCCCAGGCTGGCTAGAGAAAAAGTAAGATGGGAACAATAATTACTAAGGCTGATCATTGTTATTTTATCTCTGGACTGCTGATATGGTTTCTGACCACGTTAAGCTTCCATCAGACACCCTGTACTCCATGCCAGAATAAAGGGCCATCCATACAAATACAGAAATGTCTTGTATCTTGCATGTTGGAAGGTATCACACTGGTTAGATTTGAGAAACATCACCAAGTACTTTTACAATACTTTAGATGCCCTGAGAAGATACACATGTTTCTGTGTTGGGCGCTGTTTTTTAAGATTCACTGAGAGAATGAGCCCCCTAAGAATACCAATCATTGCCTCAATGCTTCTCTTATGTGTCCTACTGGTACAGGACACTATTCACCAATAAAGGACTCACATTCAAGCCTACAATCCCAGTCCCATTAATTTAGAGAGACTCTCATGCACAAAGATTTGCTAGGAAGGTACTTTGTGCCTTTGTTAACAGCAAAACGGTAGAAAATTTGGCCAACTGATGCAAAGAACTGACTCATTTGGAAAGATCCTGATGCTGGGAAATATGGAAGGCGGAAGGAGAAGGGGACAACAGAGGATGAGATATCACCAGCTCCAGAGCGGGTGATGGACAAGGAAGCTTGGCATGCTGCAGTCCACAGGGTCACAAAGAGTCAGACACAACTGAGTGACTGAACTGAACTGATAGTCTATTGTTAACTGTAAAAATCAGGTTAGCAAAAATTTTACTGAGTTGAATTGATTTTTTTTTTTTTTAACGCCTTGGGTTATGCCATTTGTGCTCCCCTGGTGACTCAGTAGGAGTCCACCTGAAATACAGGAGACCTCCTGCAATGTGGGAGACTCAGGTTCAGTTCCTGGGTTGGGAAGATCTCCTGGAGAAGGGAATGACAATCCACTCCAGTATTCTTGCCTGGGAAATCCCATGGACAAAGAAGCCTGGTGGTCTACAGTCTGCGGGGTTGCAAAAGTCAGACAAAATTTAGCAACTAGACCACCACCTAATGTGTCTTGAGGTGTGAATATGTGTAAGCTAATATATGATTGCATACATTAAGTATTTAAATTGGTATTGTTTGGTTATGGAGTTATGATATTTAAATTTTTATTATTTTGACTATACTAAAGTTATCACACGTTTAGTTCAGTTCAGTCGCTCAGTTGTGTCCAATTCGTTGCTACCCCAGTGGACTGCAGCATGCCAGGCTTCCCTGTCCATCACCAACTCCTGGAGCTTTTTTATTTGGAATAATATTTTCATATATATTTTGTCTCAAGTAGCAAAGAAAATCATACCAAAAATGGTTAAAAAAAACTCTGGAGATTGTAAACTGCATTTAAATTGAAATATTTCTTATAAACATTAATTAGAAACATTTTGTCCTTTCTTATTTTTAAGAGAAGATATTTCCATTTAAAATTTAAAAGTGATAAAAAAAGTAATAGTTAAGAGTATAATCTTAAGTTGCAAGCTATGGAAAGAAGAATTTTTAAATGACAAAATAACACACGTTCAGCTAAAACCACTGATTCAATTCAATAGCAAGTTCCTCAATAGCTTCTTGCCATCTAAAATCAATGAGTACTCTTCCTCTTAATAAAATCCTGAGTCAAGTAAAACTCATAGAGGTTTAGAGGGTAAATTAAATGCAACCCAGAAAGCAATTTGTGGTTATAGTTTAATTTGCTATTACTCAACACTCTCAGGCTTGACTAGAAACTAATATTACTATACATATGTTCTTCCCCATTCATGTTTGATCACTCTCACCAAGAAACTAAGACTCTAAGAAATAGTTTTGCAGGACAGAATTAATACAGAACTTTTCAGCTGGTGATAAATGAAATAATTCTGAGTACAGAATTAGTTTCTAATGAGTTATTTTATTATTTGTTACTGGTAAATTGAGTTAATCGCCTATCCTTTTGATTGGAAATACTTATGCTAAAAAGTTTCTACTATTGCAGAATGTGTGTACTTTTTTAAAGCTGGAAATTATCTAGGGATTTTCTAGTCTCTTTGAATTTGTTACGTTTATTTCAAATGAGTAAGTGAGGTAAAGGGATTTGTCTCTGTAGGTTTCAATAGGAACTTATGTAGGTTTCATTTTTTGATTTCCAACAAAAAGGACTATTCATTTTTCCCTTCATAAATAATTTTTGAGAATCTATTTGTATAATTCATTAAAGAAACCTCAACTAAAACTGAAAGTAGGACAGGCCTGTAGGAGGGGCTGTCACACTCATAGTCAATTACTCCAAAGTGACCTCTGTTGACATCTCCCACTAGAAGTTGTCTCCTACTTTACTATCTGGGAAGTTGGAAACTTCTCTAGTGCACTGGAAAGAACCAGAGGAATCAGATGGGGAGGGAGACGGGAGGGGGATCAGGATGGGGAACACCTGTAAATCCATGGCTGA